CAGCAGCGTTGGAAAAGGGGAAAGGAGGACCAATGCCGAACTCTCTACAAGGAGGACATCCTAAATCAGTGGTTTCACGCAGATAGCGAGGAGTTGGAGGCTCTTTTTGATTGTGCTTTACAGGGGGGGTAAAAGCATTCACAAGTCCAACCCAAATGCGCCCAGGTCCATGCATACCTTAGCCACCCAGTCTACATACAACATGCCCCTCCCCTCGTGATGATGATACAACACTTCTGCCATGTCAGACTCCCGACCCTCCAATGCATGTCTCATACAGACATCTGTACACGGTGGTGGAGAGTGTGAGGGGATAGAGCGCTGAAAAAGGCACCGGCAGGAACCGCCCAGGATATGGGGTCCTGGGGGAACTTCAAATACTGCGACTCGCTCGTCCCTTTGTCGTACCTCACCTCGTCATCGCCGTTTGTTGTCGCCGTCGTCTGCGTCTTTTTGCTGCTTGTATTTACACTGCTTGTATTTACACCGCTTCGAATATCACCCCAGCTCTCCAGTTGGACGCAGCCACGCTCGCAGTCCGACGCCAGCAGAACCTCACCATAACCACCCTTTCTTCGCCGGCGGCGGTGGCGGCGTCTCCTTGGCCTTCTCCTCGAGCCCCAACTGGTCCAGCATCCCGCCGTGGCGCTGGTTGTCTTTCTCGGCCGCGAACGCCGCCTTCGCCTTGTCGGCGACCGAGCGCCCCGACGCGGCGGCCCCCTCGGCCACGAAGTCGTGCGGCGCAGCGGAGGCAGAGGCAGAGGCAGGATCCACCTCGTCCTTCTTGAGGCCGCCGAACAGCCAGCCGGTGATGCCGCCCTTCGTTTTGGGCTCGGCCTCCGCGTCGATGTTGCTCTCGACCATGCTCTCGCCGGGCCAGGCGGTGCGGCCCACGGTCTCCTCGGTTTCCGTTCGCCCGCCCGCCGGCGCCGCCGTCTGCGGCGCCGACAGCAGCGGCGGCAGCGACAGCCCCTGCGCCTTGGCGGCGGCCGTGGCCTCCTCCACCAGGGCGGCCTGCTCGGGCGTGGCCTTGCCCGTCATGTAGGCCAGGCGCGCGGCCTCGAGCGAGTCCTCGCGCAGCTGCTTCTGCAGCGCGAAGAACTCGTTCCGGCGCGCCCGGTTGTGCAGCGCCATGTCGGCCGTGGCGTAGATGGTCACGAAGAGAGCGAGGCCTGTGGGTTTTTGGCAAGTACGTTAGCTCCTGCTGCTGCTGCTGCTCCTCCTCACTGCATACATGGGCGGCGGATATGTGGATAGATAGGTAGATAGGTAGACGGGGGAGAGAGAGAGAGAGAATGCGGCATACCCGAGAACCCGATCAGCGTCGTCACCGTGATCTTGTGCGCCGCGTCGAAGTACTTGCGGCTCCAGTCGACCACGCGGTCGAAGCGCGACAGCTCGTGCTGCTTGGCGGCCAGGTGGGCGGCGCGCAGGCGGCGCACGCGCTGCTCGAGCGTCTCTTGCGGCGAGGAGGACGAGGCTACCGGTGGTCGTCGCGCCGACGGCTGTGATGCGGCGGATTTCGAGGACGGGGAGGAGGATGAGGAGGAGGCGGAAGAGGCGGATGGGGAGGCGGGTTTCGTGCGGGCGTGTGGCGAGCTCGCGGTGAAGCGTGTGGCATCGGCCACGCTGCGTGGAAAGCTGGTGTTGCTGCCGCTTCCCATCGTGGCGGTCCTCTGGGATTCTGTCCGCGCAAGTCTGGACTCGGCTGAACAGGCCACCTTCTCGCTACCTTAAGGTACCCTAAGGTATGAGGTCGTCGCAGTGGAGGCGATAGTGGTGACTAATCGTAGGTGTCGGCACGGAGAGGTTGCAATAATTTTTGGAGTTCTGGACGGGAGCTTACAGGCTCACCACTTTCTTCGCCGCGCCACTTTACCTTACCCTGTCAGGCTGTCATGCCTGCTTCTGACCCGCATCCACTATAAAAGTCCCATCCTTCAGATGGTCTGGGCCGCCTTCGGTACGTACCTGGCCCGAGCTGCAGCGGGGATTCGCGCTGAACGTCCCGCCCTTTCCGGTAATCTGTACACCGCCATTGGTCAATTCCCCAAGACTTTCAGCGTTTTCTGCCGTCATCAATGGTACCGCCAGTGATGGCCCTCAGCAGCCAATTCTCTGTCTACGACATCATAAAATGTCCTAGGCAGATTGCAGTGGTGAAGGCCAATTTAAAGAGACTGGAGTGAGAACAAAAGTATAACAGATGCGAAGAAGAATCTAAGATCGCAGCTAGGTACTTGGTGTCCTTGCTCGACCGGGCAGATCTGGGCATTGCATCATCCAGAGGATCTCAGGTGAAACTCCAGGGCTCGGGACCGGCCGGAGTGATCGACGAAAACCTAGGTAAGCTGATGCAGTGAGTAACGCCAGTTACGCCGAGTAACAAACTACCAGCTACGACAAATTCCCGAGGAGTCGCAATAGGCACTGTGAAGAAGCTTGATATTTCATGTCTCAGGGAACGAGAGAATTGCTGCCACTTCCAGAACTATGACCGCTCTCTATCTGATCGGGTACCGCCGACCCCAGGCCTCCCTCGAGCCCGTCCACCAACCCACGTCTTGGCTTACAAGCACTGGCTGTAGTAATCGTTCGAGAACTGACAGCTGCCCTGAGAGCAGCACGTAGCGCCGGCCCAGCCAATACCACCACACTGCCCGTACATGGCCGAGCAGTCACCCGAGGCCGTGGTCGTGGTGGCCGGCGCCGATGACATGGTGGACGTTACCATCGTAGTCGAGGTCGGGGCGGTAGTATTAGCAGGTACACTCATCGTCGTCGTCGTCGTCGTCGAACCTCCGCCGCCGGAGTTGTCCCCCGTAAGCCCGAAGAACTCGAGCGTGATATCAATCTGGAAGGGCGGGATGTGCCCGCCGCCGGCAACCTCGTAACCGACCACCTCGGTCCCGTCACCGTACTCGATCTTCGTCCACCCCGAGATCGGGTCGTTGGTCACGTTCTGGCTGAAGCTGACTCCGTGGACGGTGCTCCATTGCTCCAGCTGTGCGTTTAGGTTGTTGATCGTCACCGCTGGGATCAGGTTTAGCATAAGTACCCAGGCAGGTAGATGCTATCTGGATGGATGGGGCGACAGAAGGCAGAATGTATCTTCAAGGGGGCGTTCATAGGAAACTCTGAAGATGTACATACCAAAGTCCGCCGTGCCATGCACGATCTGCATCCTAGGCCAGGGGCCTTCGTAGCCGGGATACGAGTCGTACACCAGATCCGCCCACTGCTCGGCGGTATACGTGCTCGCCTTACTGCCCAGGGGACAACTCTGGTCACTCGCGAGGGGCGTGCTGCTCGACGCGCCCGCCCAGCAACCGTCTGGCACCCCGGAGTACGAGATGCCAGCGGCGAACAGATCGGGGTAGCTGCCGGCCAGGACGTTGGTCTCCATGGCGCCCGACGATGCACCGATCATGAAGACGCGCGAGGTGTCGACGCCATACTCGTCGATCGCCCAGTTCACCAGGCCCGCGAGACCCTCCGAGTCGCCGCCCCCGTCGTGCGTGAGGGTGGCCGACGAATACGCGTCCCAGCAGTTGAACCCATCCTCGACATTGGAGGTCGGGAACAGCATGATGAAGTTCAGCTCGTCGATATAGTCCGGCAGCGTGGTCATAGACTGGTAGAGCGAGCCGGTGCCGCCGCAGGGGTGGAGCTGTGTGTATCGTCAGCCACGGCTTCTTCATACGATGGCCATACTGTGATTTGAGTGCCTGGTAGACAAGTAGGTGAAGCAGGCGAGCAGAGAGAACATACTCCCAAGATCAGCGCAGGGCTGTCACCCATGGAATCGGGCGTCAGAACGATGGTCGAGCCCAGGTTCGTGGGGTTGTCCGACCAACTATCGACGGACGAGGTCTGGAAGGCCGTTGCAGCGCCCGCGAAGGCGGTTGCCAGAGCATAGGAGCGCATCTTGAAGTTGCTGTCTGCTGCTTTCCTTGAACTAAGACGCGTTGTCGGGGCCTGGGTCGTGAGGACTGCCTTTTCGTACTTGGTGAAGGGGCGCCCCCAGCTATTATATGTACCATAGATGTTGGTAGTATGGTCGCTTCCACGAACTACACGTCCACCGCGAGTGGAGCTATAGGTCATTCTGCAATAGCAAGTTCTCGCAGCTCAGAAGGGTAGGTCGACATCCCAGTAGCTGCCATAGCATGATTCCAGGCCTCGGGACGACATGGTTTGGAGCCGCCAAGAACAGTACAGCATGGCCTCGGTGGCATCGGCAAGCACGCCGGGATGTGAAGACATGGTGGGCGCGGCGAGAAGCAGACCGTATATGGCATCATGGAGGACTGTCACCGAAGCCCAGCGCGCACGAACCCGGAGCGGGCGCCTCCCACAAAGGAACCGGCGGACCGTTGCACTCGCGCCCCCTGGTGGCAGGGTGCGCTCGTTCGGAGCTGGCTGCCGAAGAAGAAAGTCCACTAGTCAGAAGGGCAGGACGGTATCGGCGCGCTGAGATGCGCCGTCGGCCTGCAGCGTCCGCGCGGCGGGCAACAGAACAGCTACGCTGCCTCCAGCATTTTGCAGATGCGACTGTGCCCTACATACCACGATGGATCAAGCGAAGCTGGTCCAGGAATTCCCATTACGGGAATTAGGAATAGGAAGCCGCTTTTGCTTTCTCGGCCGGCACTCGCTCGGGGTCGGCCAGGGAAGTACTATATGAATGCGGGGCTCCATTCCATGATGGACAGGCAAGACAGGCCTGCAAGCGTGACAAAGATAATACTCAACTTGCAAAGAAAGCCGAAGAAACGGAAAAGTAAGAGGTGGGTAGAGGAGACTGGAAGTGACATCAATATCATCGTCCTCCATACCTTAAGTTACCTAATCTTCCGAGTCTCTCCCACTTTCCCGGGCCTGGGACGAGAGGTATCTTCTGTCATCTGAGGCGGCTAACCTAGCGCATTCCAAGCCACGCGAAGCTGAGAGGCGCGCCAAAATTATTATAGCTTAACGTAAGCGACCCTTGAACATCAGCCCTGGTAGCTCAATTGGCTAGAGCGTGGGACTTTTACGACCATTTCAGTCCATCCCAAGGTTGCGGGTTCGACCCCCGCCTGGGGCGAGTTTTCTCACTTTAATGTGATATATCCTTTTGCATGTTGCGAATTACCTATTTGTTGTTTCGCTTTTTAGTTCTTTGGTTGGTATACTTTTGCCCTAGTCCGAGGTTCTCTCCCCATCTCATCAACTCGTGCTTTCCCTTGTAAGAGCCGGTTGCTTTGGATGAAATGGACAAACAGAATGACTCACAGGATGCGCCATGTTCATCTACGGCGAGGAACTACCTTGGTACCAGATAAATAGACACCTACCTGGGACCATGATCCAGTGCAGCGAAGTAGCTATCGCGGTGACTTCAGCAAGCCGGATCAACATTCGAAGATCATGCAATCCTGTACACAGCTTGATTCTAAAAGGCCATCTTTGCCTTCTCTGGCATTCGATACTTTACTTTCTCTCCTCGGGTGTTCGTCTGGCAGGAGCTTGACATTTCCTTTACGTCTATACCTATGCTCATGGCCAGAACGTCCGATGGCACGGAGATACATGTCTCGATACTGGTCAGGCCAGCGAGTGTTAATTTGAAGAACTGGTAAAAGAAACTGACGAGAGAGATTCCTCCCCTGTCAAGGTCGACTATCGCCTATGCGGGATGTACGTGTGAGGTGCCGACGATCCGATCACGTGTTCATTCATGAGATCCCATCGAACAGTGAACGGGAGTGTCTGTAGACAGTAGGTGTGTGTATTGGATTGCAAGACCATCTTTCGATTAGAGCAGCCTCGGCATCTCCTATCGGCGCCCTCCTGTCTGTCGCTCTCCACTCAATGTCGGGCGCGGAACATAGCTGCCGTAGCATTCCCTGAGAAGACGTCCAGCGGGAACTTCTCCGCAATCTGCTGATAGCCCGCCGGGTTCGGGTGAAGGTGATCGCCGCTGTCATACTGACTTGCCAAGTTGGCCGTATTGGAGGGGTTAGCGAGGAAAGTCGCGAAGTCGATCGACGCATCGAAACTGCCGTCGCCGCCAGCCATGATCCACTCGTTCAGCGACACTCGCGTCGTATCCCTCGTCGGGTTGCTGTAGCTCTGGCCCTGCCCGCCGAAGGGCGTGACCGTGGCTGCGAGCGTGGTCATGCCCGCGTCCTTGGCCGCTGCTGCGACCGTCTTGAAGGCGGATTCGAGGCTGCTTCCGAGGCGGGATTGTGTTCCGGAGTCAGGTGACCCACCCCCGATATCGTTTACGCCTTCGAAGATCATCGCGTATTTGGCTCCCTGCACTGAGAGAAGATCTCGCTGGTACCGTTGCATCAGTGGGGGCCCCAGTCCGCCGGTCAAGACGGCGTTGCCGCCTGCGGCTTGGTTGCACACGGCGATATTCGTGATGCCTTCTTCTTGCATTCGCGCGAGTAGCAGGTCGGGCCAGCTGCGCATTTGTCAGTAAGGAGTTGTTGTGTGGGCGTGGCAGGGTGACCAGTCGGGAACAGACCGGTTGTTCATATCGTCCGTGCTCCCACGGCCGTCGGTGATGCTGTCACCAAGGATGACCAGAGCAGCGGTATCCTTCGGAGCCCAGGCCTCGACGGCTGTGAGGTAGTACCAGTGCGCTGTCTTAGCACTGGTCACCGTGGAGGCATTCACGTGGTTCCCCTGCTGCATCCACGACGTCGTCCTGCTACCGGGGTGGCCCGTAATGCTCGTGCCCGATTGACCTGCTTGCGAGTACAGGGTAACCGTGATCATCGCCTGCGGGTCGACCTTGAAGTCTACCGGGTCGGTGTAGGCTACCTGTCCTCTTGGAATTGTTGCCGAAGCTGACCCGTTGAAGGTCAGCGCCATCAAGGACGCCTCGTCGATCCCGTTCACGCCGGCCTTGCCGCCTGTTGGAAGGGCCACCGACGCAGCGGTGATGGGCAGATCACTGCCACCGAAAGTGTTGGAGATCTGGAAACGGAGTCTCTCGGCGCCAATGGACATGTGCAAGGTTTGGCGGAGTGTCGCGTCCTTGAAGGTGCTTCCGCCTGTCTGTTCGCCCCTGTCAGCCTTCGGTGTCACGGTCTTGTGATGATGGAGTCGACCTACGAAGGGAGACGGCGGCATGTTGCTCTGTTCGACGAGCTGCGGCATTGAGGTCCAGGTTGCCACCCAATGCGACTCTTCATCTTGTCGTTGTTCTAAGCCAGCAGGAGCCGCGAATAGTTGGGAAGCCCATAACAACCAAACCGCAATAGTCGCAACGGCGAAGTTCGAAATTCTCGGCATCTTTACAATAAATGGTCTTCCAATGACCAAGACTTCGTACACAGCTAGTTGTCGACAGGTGACATGATCTCACCTCGACAAGGGCCAGAGTAGTTATTTATCACTCGCCCCCGAAGCCATTGATTGCAAGGCGGACATAGCCCCTCCGGAGACATATTGGGTTTTCCATGGTCGACGATTTAGCCGCAACGCTGCCCGCTCGTCACTTAACTTGAGACAGGAGCGCAGGTCTACCAGACGGTCGTAGAGAGATCTGGAAAAATGTGGTGAGCCATGGGATACTATACAGGGGAGTATATAGGAGTCACCCGGGCAGGAGAAGGGGAGACGCTTGTCGCCCTGGACCCCGTCAACCCGTTTCCTGGGACTCTGGGTAGGCCGAAGTAGTATGACAGGGCTCGGCGGGTGGCAGCATTGGCGGAAGGGAAGAGGCCCATGGTCGGGTAGGTCGGTTCGGACAGCCAGCATCCCCATCTTGGCTGCAGCGGCCTTGGATGCCGCACACCTCACACGTGGCTACACAGTAGTTGGATTGGCTGTCTCACAAGTACGATACGAAGCGTCCCCAGGTATCCACAGCCTAGGCCACTCTGGGAGTTCTTCGTACATACTTGCATGCCAAGGAGCTATGTATAAGTCTTCGTGGCAACTGAGCGTCTTCGTGTGAAGGCATTCAGACAGCGTCTGAAGCGGGAGACAGAGTCCTGCAGGGGTTTGCAGATAACAACCTTGTACCTTGATGCGGACATGTGCGGACAAGACATAAGCCCGCAGCAGCAAGGCGGAAATGACAGAAACTGTCAGAGAGCGTGGCTTTTAGCTTGATGGGTCTCGCCGGCCCGCTGAAGGATGATATAGATGATGGGAGGCGGAAGTCCTTCGAGCACTCTAAACATGCCACGCGGCTCGTTCTCTTGGAGTTTTGATCTGCGAGAAGAAACTCATCGTGGAACGAAGGTTGACGATGGCATGTTCATGATGCCTTGCGCGGGACACCATGGTACTAATTATAATCAGGCGCGTCGGTGAGTCAGCCAGGTGAGCCTGCCTCCCTGCCATACCTGCCTTGCCTGCCTGTCAAGTCCAGCTACCGTACCCTTTAATTGCATATACCGCAAGGCCGATAGTGGTCCGGTGGTTCCGCTGCCCCTCACTGGAGCCTCCTTGCCCCGCCGATTACCAAAGTCAGCGACGCAGGTTGAGTGGAAGCGTCCACCAATTGAGTTCTGGAAGATTTTCCATGTGGATTCACTTACACGCCTGAACACACCACCTTTTCCTTCAATCTTGACCTTCGCCAGGTCCAGCGCTCCATCCAGGCAAATCCAGGCACACATAGCTTTGCGAACAACATCGCCAGATCGCCATCGACTCTCTGTCCTGCGCGTGTTCTCGTCCTTTTCTCGCCCAATTGTCCAAGCATCTACCCGAGACGCTCACCCTGGACGCTGCAGCTCTTCTGCGGGCCAAGTTGCACAACCGATCCCTCATATCACACCGCACCGATCGAGCTCTCATTCGCCTTTCGGAGCTCATCGATCTTATAGCAAAATCTTTTCTCTCCCTGCCAGATACCTTCACCCGCCTGACTCATCCATCTTCATCTCATATCCACGCAACGGGTTATATACCCTTACCTCCCAGACAAACAACGCTGTTTGGCTTATCCCCGTTGCAGCGACCTACCATTGCCAATCTCTCTCTAGATACCGTATACCTTATTTCAAACTGCCTGCAAACCGCCTGACCCGTCGTCTACTGCGGCACCCGTCCGTCACTCGGCTCCAAGTAGCAAACAGCTTGACCTGTTCGCTACGCTTGCCAGTCTCCCCTCGACTTCGACCTCGATTTGAAACCGCTGTATCAGTCCACTCACCCATTCTATACGCCACAATGCCGGGAGTCGACATGGCACCACTCAAGGCTGACGACATGAGAGGTACGTGACACCCCCGTGCTTGTGTTCGATTCACTTCCCGTCGTACCCTTGCCTGCAGTGGTTTGGATGATAACTGCTCTGGAGACCAAACTTGTTGCTACTTCTCCGTCCCCTTCATTCGCATTTGGTAGACCTGATCATCCATTTCATCACTTCCCAAGGCTATTGCTCTGCTGTGCTCTTTTGCCGCTATTTTGGGGCCCATTTCTGTATCTTCCTGTGCTGTCCTTGTTCTCAACAGTATGCTTATATACACCGATTCTGCAGTCCTGGGACAGGACCCTCTGATCCCGCCCGCGCTGCTTGTCCACGAGATCCCTATTACGGATGCTTCGTTGCAAGCGGTGGTCAAGGGACGTCGTGAGGCCGTTTCCATCATCATGGGCCGTGATGACCGTTTGCTGGTCGTCGTTGGTCCTTGCTCCATCCACGACCCTGCCAACGCGCAGGAGTACGCTCAGCGTCTTAAGAAGCTCTCTGACAAGCTTGAGAAGGACTTGTGCATCATCATGCGCGCTTACCTGGAGAAGCCCCGGACTACCGTCGGCTGGAAGGGCCTGATTAACGACCCGGACATCGACAACAGCTTCAAGATCAACAAGGGTATCCGCATCTCGCGTCAAATGTTCAGCGACCTAACCAGCGCCGGCATGCCCATTGCCACCGAGATGCTGGATACTATCTCTCCTCAGTTCCTTGCCGACTTCATTTCCGTGGGAGCCATCGGTGCTCGGACTACCGAGTCCCAGCTACACCGTGAGCTTGCCTCAGGTCTCTCCTTCCCGGTTGGCTTCAAGAACGGTACGGACGGCAACTTGGGTGTCGCTATTGACGCCATCGGAGCTGCTGCCTCCAAGCATCACTTCATGGGTGTTACCAAGCAGGGACTGGCTGCTATCACGAGGACGTCGGGCAATGAGCACGGCTTTGTTATCTTGCGTGGTGGTACCAAGGGTCCCAACTACGACAAGGAGAACATCCAGGCTGCCAAGGAGACTCTGATCAAGAAGGGCCAGAAGCTGGCTATCATGGTCGACTGCTCTCACGGTGCGTCCTACCCGAAACACAAATATACGCTTATAGGAGGCTGACAAGCGTGCAGGCAACTCGAGCAAGAACCACCGAAACCAGCCCAAGGTTGCCAAGTCTATTGGCGACCAGCTGCGTGAGGGTGAGAAGGCCATCGTTGGTGTCATGATCGAGTCCAACATCAACGAGGGCAGCCAGAAGGTGCCTGCCGAGGGTCCGTCGGGTCTGCAGAAGGGCGTCAGCATCACGGACGCCTGCATTGACTGGGACACTACGGTCGAGGTGCTCGAGGATCTGGCTGCCGCCGTGCGAGCTCGCCGAGAGAAGAACGGAGCGGCCACCGGAGAGGAGGTTGAGCAGAAGGTGACCACGATTGAGGAAGACTAAGCGGCATTTTGATACCTTGTCGGAACGTGGGATTGACCAAAAGCTTGAGATGAAGAGTCTGCATGCATCGACAGCACCGGGATAGAGGGACGTGGACGAGGATGTAGAGTGACGATCGAAGACAGGGATAATCAACCACATTCGGGCAGTCACCTACAAGCTCGACAGGGATAAAACGGAAGGGCAAAACAAAAGGATTTGAGGGCGTATGGATGCATTTAGACCGGTTTGCATGAGGGACAGCTGCTCGTCCCTCGGGCGGACGCAGAGGAAGGAGACAGCAGTTCTGTGCGATGAGAAATGATGTCCCGATTTGACTCGATGAGTCGGCGCTTGAGCACCATGGTGATTGCTGTAGTCCTTCTCCTGCCCGCGAAGAAACTCAAAGACCGTGACGCCATGCCCCTCCAGGTAACCTCCTAAGCGATTTCCTCCCTTCTTCATCCCCCTACCGTCCAACAGCAGCATAGACGCCGCGATCATTCCCCTCGGCACTGAGCCCTCCCAGACCCAAAGCTGCAGCCTTCTTCCCCTCGCGCATCTCAACGACACGCTTCGCACCCGCCCACCCCAGCAGTCCCGCGGTCCCGAGCAAAAAGGCCCAGACGATAATTTGGTCCTTGCGGCTGTCGCGCTGGAAGCACTGCGCCACCACGTCGCTCTCTTCTTCCGCGTCCTTGCAGATCGGGAGATGCTGCGCCAGGCAGAAGGACCGGGTGCATTGTGTGCAGGAGGTCGAGGCGGCGCGCTTCTGGGCGTGATCGCGGGGAGCGAGATCGCTATCAAGGAAGGTAGCGGAGAGATCGGGGGATGAAGAGCGTCGTAGAAGGTGCTGTTGCCCGTGCTGCTGCTGCTGCTGCTGCTGTTGCTGCTCGATCGTCGTCGTCCCCGGCGAGGAATCGGAGCTCGCGGTTTGCGGGCCCAGCTGGATCAGGGTACTGTTTTTGAAGCATGTGCATTTGCAGAAAGTCGGCGCGGCTGTGGGGCGTGATACGTATGAGCTATAGTTCTAATAGGGTATTGCGTTGGTTTGGCGAAAACTGGAAGAAGTAACTTACACGCTGCCGCTGCGTAGGAGGCTAGGACCCCTATTAGGAGTAAGAAGAAGCGTAGAGAAAGCATCATGAACTCATGGATCTGGTATATGGCAGTATACCCTCATCTGCATCGCAAGTGTTACCTTGCCATTCGATAGAGAGTTCCCGTCGGCACTGGCAGGGGAGAACTTCCAATATTGACGAGGGATAGCTGGTGTCTCGAAGGTACGAATGCGCTCCGGCCAGCGACCGAACGGTCGCGACATGGGACGGGGTGGGTGTTCAAGAGATACGTACCTAGGTACCTTTCCCGGGCAGCCGGGCATGGAATGTGGCTGAAATATGGGTACCTGACAGCCACAACCAATCAGCTGCGACCCCTACGCCGCGGCGACCTGGACCCGGACCCGGGAACTTCCAAGCTACGGCGAAAAAATAGTCCACTCTGCTACTCCCGCGCTTGACTACTGCAGCAGGTTGTCCCGATCTCCGTCGACGACAACCCACCAGCTCAGTCGACCACCATGCGCCGCATACCAAGATTACGGACGCCCGCTGCTTCGGCAGTCACCGCAGCAGCCCGTCCTGCTGTTGCGCCGCTGGTCGGCGGCCCGTCACGATCCATCAGCGCCGCCCAGATCCCAGCCCCGCCGAGGCCGTCCTTGTGCTCGACCAGCTTCGCCCGCTTCTACTCGGACAAGCGGCCACAGCCCGGATCGAATATCATTGAGCCCGAGAGCAAGGAGGTCTCTGAACTAGAGAGCAAGGAAGTCGCCGCCCCGGAAACCAACCAAGTCACCGGCCCAGAGAAAAAGGAAGTCGAGCTTCTTGCGAACGAAGGCGAGGCGAGCTTGGAAAGGTGGCCCCCCTCCCGGGAAGACCACCGACTATTCGTGCCCCCGCCCAGAGAACGCTCCGAGTACCCCCTTGCCGAGGATGTCACCGATTCCTCCTACATTCCCGCCACCAACTGGGACGGTCTGAAGTTCGTTGGCGGCCTGGAACACTGGTGGAACAGGGGCGGTCACTGGAAGAAGGAGGCCAACTGGTCCGGCTTCAAGCCGAAAGACAAGACCACCGAGCCCGTGCTGATAGAGGCTGCTGTGCGCCGAGCTGTCGTCGAGACTTTCGCTTTACGACAAGCTGGGCGCGAAGCTGAGCTTATGACGAGCCGGTCTGTGGGTGGTCGGGACGCAACGCTACGCTTCATGGAGCTGGATGTCAAGGCCGACGAGAACGGCGTTATCACCTTCCGTGGCGATGTGACTGGTATCCTGGACGGACTCGCACAGGCTGATGAGTCTGCGCCAGCCGGCGAGGCCGTGTCCGCGGATGAGGCCCGTCAGATTAAGGAATCGTGGGACCGCAGCTGGAAAAACATCTCGCTGCTTGACCCCAAGATCCGGTTCGCCGTGCGTAGAGTTCTTACTTCTAAATCCGTTTCGACACACTGTTGCTGACTTGGAATCGAACAGGTCCGAAAGCGCTTCTTCCAACTGAGCGGCCAACTGGTGGCCGACCACCACTTGCCGGCGATCAAGGACGTGCGCACGCTGCTGAACATCGCGCAGAAGCCGCCCAAACCCAAGAAGTTGGTCGACCAAATCGAGCAGCACCAGCCCGAGTTGCTGTCCCTCCCGAACGTGGCCATGTCGCCCAAGCGCATCACGCGCGGCGACCGCGAGGTCGTGGTGGGCCGCTTCAAGTTGATCCAGGAGGAATGGCGCAAGCGCGACCTGCCGCTGCACGGCGTCGGCGATGCGGAGAAGAACTGGGAGATAGCGCACTTGCAGGGTCGCGAGTCCTTCCGCGGCAAGGGCTGGGCGGCCGAGAAGGCCAAGGAGAGGAAGGCGTACTGGATGAAGAAGCGGGTCAAGAAGTCGCGCAGAGGCTGGGTCACCAAGTACCCGACCCCGACCCTCCAGGAGAAGACCGGGCCAAAGAAGGCCTCGAAGAAGGCCTGGTCGGAGGACTCGCCGAAGACCTTGCCACAGGCCTGGCCCCGTGCCACGTTCTGAGATGGCGCGGAGAAGCAGCAGCTAAGTAAGTAATGGCCCCGCGCCATTTGTAGATTACACGAATCAAGACCTGTACCATAAAAGAAGTCTCAAAGGGGATACACTGAGCTTGGTGCTAACCATGATCTGGGGGTGTCTTGAGCTGTCTACCTAGGTACAGAGAACATCATCATCTCTCTTTCGACTGTTCTCGGGGGCTGCTGCTTGGGGTCTATCGGGTGCTCCTTGTCTGCCGACCCGGATGCTCTCCAGACACCCGAACCTTGAGGGCCAGCAACTCGACACACTTTCATCATGTCCCGCTCGAGGCTCTTCCCACGTGGCGTCGCCTGCCGGTCATTGCCAACCAAGTGGGCCTCCCGCCAGGCATACAGTCCCCCGCGTTGCACCGCAACGCACCTCCTGGGCCTCGATGCCCCTCTCGCTGCCATTTTGATTGTACCATAACTCCTAATTATCGTGTTTCCTGTCGATGGTGGTATAGACAAGTGGTTACGTCGTTGGGTTGTGGTTATCGCAAGCACAGATCCCCAAAGGTCGGGAGTTCGAACCTCTCTGCCACCAGGTCTTTTCTTTTGCTGCACTTAGGGGCTGCGTTCGTGGCCTCGGAGGCCCTCGCAGCGGAAAAGCATCTACCTACCTACCTACCTACTACTGTGATTCTGCTCAACATTGAACACTGAGAGCGCGCGTATCCGTCCAACAAGAGTTGACCGGCATAGTAGTAGCACGCCGCCCAGCTAGTCTTTCTCTAATGTCCAAGTAAGACAGACATGTGGATTCAACAGCACACTTTGCTTCTCGTACACGGTTCTTGAAACCGCTTAGAGGTTTTGAAAGATATTGGCATATTAATTAATACCTTGGACATCTAGGAGTCTCCCTTTACTGGCGATTCTCCTATTTTCTACCCGCAAGGAATAATCCCCTGGCAATGCCCTTAACCTACTATGGATCGCTCCACGGAATAATTAAGAGTACTGAAGATCATCTATAGGCAGATTGCAAAACACCATCCATGAACTGAAAATTCCTGTATTCTCTGTCCGCCTTTTTCTACGGCGCAGAGATATATACAGGTGGCAAGCTCACAGTTCAGGTAGAAGCGCAAGATCACATTGCGACCCTTGGAGAGATTATACATACCTCTGTACCAGAGTGTCGTACAATGCAGAAGATTAGCAGGCCCCTGGAAGACCCCAGGTCCTAGATAAGTACACAATGCACCGCTGTCCGCCATGTACCAGCTCGGTCGTCTGCCGCTCCACCGTCCCCTGTACAGAGACGTTACCTCCTCACCTTACCTCGGGCTCCTCGCGCTACAGCAGAGTTCCATGGAAGTCTCCGTCAACGCGTGTACGACCTCAGAGACACTGATAATCGGCGCCGTCACCGCGTCCTTCTCGAATCCCCCGAGCCCGTCCCCTCACTCCGTAACGTTAACCTTGCCCGTCAAGTCCGCCCTCTCGCGATCCCCCGCAACCTGGCGGTCCCTCTGGACGGCACGGTCCTGGTCGTCGGCCAGCATCACCCGGCGGCGGGCGTCGATGTACATCATGAACTCCTGGTAGGAGTGGGGGAGCACGCGGACGTCCTTGGGCACCAGGAAGGTGTAGTTGAACTGGCCGGTGGGGCGCGCGTTTCCGTGCTCGACGTCGCGGACCTTGGAGTCGACGCGCACGTGCAGGCGCGTCAGCGGGTTCGCCGGGTCGGCCTGCGCCGGCTCGCGGCCGTCCTCGTCGACGGCGGGCGGGTCCGTGTACACGACGGTGGCGGTCAGGTACAGGACGCTGCCGACGGGGACCGGGTTGCGGAAGGTGCACGGGTCGGCGCTGACGAAGGTGGGGCGGGCGTGGGCGAGCGAGGCGGCGGCGCAGAAGGCCAGCTCGAAGGTGGTCTTGAGGTGGAAGCCGCCGAAGATCATGGTCTGGTGCCGGTTGCGGTACTGCGGCTGCATGATCGCCGCCGTGCTGAGCTGCGTCCGTGCCATCGCCACCGCGTTCTCCGGCTGCCGCGTCGGCGTGTTCGGGTCGTGGTACTCGAGCTGCCGCAGCCAGATCTTGTGGATCAGCGCCGACTCCGGGTCGTTGGGCTCCGTCGCCAGCAACGACGCCTTCGCCGTCGCCTTCTTGGCCGCCGCCTTGGCCTCGCCCGCCGCGAATACCGCCTGCTCTTCCGGCGTCTCGCACTCTAGCTTCGGCACGGCGGTCGGCTTCTTCGTCTCCGGGTCCAGCGCCACCATCGTGAAGGTACACGTCAGCAGCTCGTCTTCGGCACGGCTGGCCTCGCCTTCGGGGCGCGCTCGTGCCACCTTGCAGGTGATTTCCATGCTGCTGCGTCCCGTCGCGTACGTCACCCGCCCGCTGTACTCCAGGTCGCAGATGTCGGTCAGCGGGTGCGCGAGCGTGATCCGGTCGACCGCCGCCGTCACGCACGTCACCTGTGAGACCGTGGTTAGACACTAGTTGAAAATGAACGCTACGGTTTCAACGCACCCCGGGCCCTGTGTGCTTGTACACGATGATCCCCGAGAGCGCGTCCAGGTCCATGAAGATCGTGCCGAGTCTGTGGTGGGTGGGCACAGGGTCAGCGCGATCGCTCGTGCAAGGGGGCAGGAAAGAGGGCGGCGAAGGTACCGTATGTGGCCCGACGAGTTGATGTAGGTGTCGCTCAGCCACGGGTCCTGGCCGAGGGGCAGCACGACGCGGTGGTAAGAGTCGCTCATCTTCCTGGGGCTCAAGTCGCGGTCCTGCGGATTCGCCTCGTCCGCCGCGGTCGTCTTGCCCTCCTGCTGCATGCGTAGAGCCTCGATCCACGGTGTCGGCAGGCGGTTGTCTGTCAGCCCGCGGAACACGCCATCCGTGTGCCGCGCCGCCGTGCTGTGCAGTCCTCGAGAAGGCACACGGCGTAGCAGGCCAGAGGCCGCCCGTCTGCCGACTGCTGCACTTTCGAGGCGGAAGGCCGAGGCCACGAGCCGTCGGACGGATGTATTCCTGCAGACCATGGTGGCGGCCTAAGAGCTGGACTCGGGTCACGATGTCTGTCGCGATGCTAGGGAGGCTGGTGGAATGTGGTACGCGGCAGTTTGCGATTACAAGAAGGTTCCTGAAGCTATCGCCGGGAGTTCGAGCATGTATGCACCAATGGGGGCTATGACGCATCTATTCGGGATCGTATGCATCAAAGCGTCATCATTCCCCTACCTAAGACTAGGGCAACCTCCTCGATCCTTAGGAGCACAATGGCAACTGTATATGGTACCATCATCTGGAACACACATGCTGTTCAATTCAAGTCGCTCCCACCGCCATTGAGCAAGGCAAGCAGACTGGACTACCATGAACGGTGTCCTGCCTATCAAAGGGATACGGAGTTTCTGGTCGTTGCGATTGCGACTCAAGGAAGAGTCTCGGGCTCCTCCTCCTCCTCCCCCTCTTCATCATCCGGGTCGGACTGTTGTCGGGGATAGTAATGGATGTCAAGGTACCTTGGGCCGGAGCGACGGGAAAAATTGGCATCTGGCTGGTCCTCCGGGTAAAGGTTGCGCAACGCCGACACCCACCTCGGCTCCGTTCGCCCCTCCCGCTCTTCGAGGAGATATTTCATCTCCTCCTCAGAGTGACGCGCGATGTCGAAGTTCTCGTTGGTTTCACGTTCGTCCTGCTGCTCTTTCCACACGCCCCAGAACTCCTTAAACAGCTTCGTCCTGAAGGGGGGCTGGAGCACTTCCTCCGAGTCCTTGTCGTCCGGGTTCTCACTTAGGTCATCGAGTTCGCCTGGGTATCCTTCAGACGTCACCACCGAGCCCAGGATATTCACTGGCACGATGTTGTCAACAAATGCGTTGAGCACAGCCACATGCACGGGTTGAATTGCGTTCCGGTTTTGATCGACTAGGACCACGGTACCGATATCCTGCGTCGAGCTCACGACCATCCCCCGTGCATACCGGTACATGTGCCGCACGTACTCATACTCCCACCCGTGCTGCACGGCGCCGCGGGCGGCTAGGTTGCGGAGGCGAGCTGACTTTTTAGAAAGCCGTCGAGGCGACCAGTCTGTGTACCTAGGGTAGGTGCGGTACGTCCAGTCCAGCCCGAGAACCTCGAGCGACCATATAGGGGTGGTACCGATGCTCTCCGCGAGGGTGCGGGAGTAGTGTTTTGCGAGTTTGGGCTCGTGGTGCGACGGCACCGGATCAGCGGGCACGATGGCGGCTTCGATGCGGGATTTCAGGCCCAGCGGCGCGAAGCGGCTGGTTGTGCCTTCGCCAAAGACTGCGAGTGGGACGTTAGCTTGGGCAAGGGAGGAATAGAGAGAAACTCACTGATAACTCCAGGCACTGTCTCCCGTGGGTAGCGGTCCGGGTCGGTGATGCAAGGGTTCAAGGGGTGGTGATGATACATATCAACGACGCGGCGGAAATCACGGGCGTTGACGTCGACCATGTTAATGCCTTGCTTTTCCTTGGTAGTTGTTGGCCATCGGCGGTGCGCGACGATGATCTGGTTGCCCAGCCAGGACTTCGAATGCCCTGGTTTTCCAAGCGCCGTGATGCTCTTGTTCACCGGGACGCCGTCAACGGGTTTCTCGTGCAGCCCGATGGATAGGAGTCCGCAGCCGCCGTATTTGTGGCCGGATTCGTGGCCGGATTGTAGTAGTGGTGCGAGAATATCGTGCCACATCACCTCGTATTTGGCGTATTTGCCGAAGTACTCTTTGACTCCGGGGAGTTTGCGCCCCTTCTTGATGGACGACGATACCCAGATAAAGCGCGGCGCGTCCTCGTCGGCTGGAAATAGAATGGCGCGACGGTGTCTGTTCGAGGGACGCTTGTCGGCGCTGAACTCGGGGATTGAGGCGCAGACAAGTTGGTGGACGGGCGCATCGGCGGCCTGGTGCTCATCCGAGCAGTAGATGCCCTCGTCGCAGCTGGTGCACATCGAGGTGCCGGGTTCGTCGCAGTACAGACACTGCGTTCGCATCTTGGAGGAGTAGGGAGGACATCGCTTCTCCAGCTCATCGAGGGCCTTGTCGGTTTCTTGGCGAACCTCTTTGCGGCGGCGCGAGGCCTGCTCGGGAGTCAGGCCGTAAGGCAGCTCTTTGGCCATGTTACCCATTTACAGACAGGCTACCCGGAGATTGTCAGTATATCTGCGTGTGCGGAAGGTATCGAGAGGGAAGTGAAAGTGCGGGAGATGGCAGTGGTAGTACTCACGCGGTTGCAGGTGGTGGGAGGTACGCGGGGCGAGAAGGCGGCAGGTATCCATATAAGAGTAAATGTCGGGAATGTCGGAAAATAAGCTCAGAAGGACGAGGTGAGGCAGGCACAAGTTAGGCGAGGCAAACAGAAGGGTGAGGCCCGGCTGCTGGCTGTCTCGTGATCAAACAAGCCCTGGAGGTACCTTACCTCTCGGTTACCTAAGATACCTCCCTACCTAAAGTACCTACCTGTGCTCCGGGTCCAAGTCGTCCTCGAGACTGCTTTCTGCTTTCTGCTTTCTGCCCATCTCTTACTATCGAAGACATCCTCTTATTCCTCTTTTCATCAACTTCCAGTCATA